GGTAATAGGCACCAGCACCCCTAGCAAACCCGCTTGGGATAGGCGTGACAGAAAATGGATGGATGGATGGATGGATGGATGGATGGATGGGTGGGGCCTATGTCTGGCAGTCAATGTGCATAAGGCGGAGTACACACTGGACAGGTGGACAGTCTGCTGCAGGCCAATACAGAGCCAGAGTAGCCGGAGAGAATCTACACATGCACGTTGTATCTTTAGTATATGGTACAGTTAACCATTATGTGCATCTTTAACAGATTCTGAAAATAGCTATTTTCTACTGCTTATTCTGTCAGGGTCTGGGTTGGGCTACTGCCTGTCTCTGGCAGTCTATGGGCAAGAGGCATGTGGGAGGAAACCAGAGTACCTGGAGAGAAAACCACACATGCACATGGAGAACATGCAAACCCCATACGGAAAGAAATCGAACCAAGAACTTTCTCGTTGCAAGGCCCACTGTGACACCGTTCAGCCTGTAGGCAATGGTACCATCTTAAAATGGATATCACTTTCAATGTGACCAAACTAGACAATTTTGTTCAGGTATCCAGACCACTAATGTTTTCTTAATTTCTGCTACCCCTCTCTCGCCTTTTTTTCTTTATTTAAAAATACAAATTTAATTGCAATATGTTTCTAAAAGTTGAAGAGGACAAGGTGATAGAAAGGCTAGAAGGTGCCTTAAAGACAATCAGTTTTAATTTTTACATCCTAAAGCTTTAAGAGATTTTCTTATATGCTCTTTAGACTTTAATATTCAAGCAGCTTATGTCTGTCCCTTCTGGAAAGGTCATACATTCCAAATCTAAGAGCACATACTTTAAAGTGCTACCATAGCCACACCAGTTCATCAAATAGAAGGGAAAAGACACATCCTCTAGGAAAGAATTAGATCATAGTTGCATTTTCCCCATCTGTTGTCTTGAAATGTGAAAAGGGTTGGTTACTTGGTCTCAGCAAGAGACATCAAAAAGAGGTTAAAATCAGAAAGATGAGAGCTGAGAAAAAGTTTTGACTTCTGTTAAACCTTAGTATTAAAAAATCTTAAATGAAGCAAGTATAATTTTTAAAAACTAGATTTTAATACTAGAATGCAAGATTCTTTTACAGCCCTATTCCACTTATTTTAACATTATGCTAGAGCTGTGTGATATGACTAAACATTTGTTTTTCACAACATAAGCCTTTCCTATCAGTCAATATCAATTATTATTGATTAGTGTTTTTTTTCCACATTTTTTAAAATAAGGATGGGGGGGGGGGTCTAGCCTGTTTAAACATAATCTTTAAAATGGGTCAGCTAAACTACCAACCTTGCTTAGTTTTACTGTGAGAGGTCTAAATCCCTTTCTTGATCAGAGTTTAGTGGAGTTACTTAAAATATTGATATTGATTGGGTGTTTTTTGTGATAAGGCGATAATTTATTGCTCAGCCCTAAATTGTAGTTTGTAATATAGCGGAAAATATTCAGTAGATTGATGAATGGAGACATTAAGATCAGCTAACTGATTCAACACAGATCTTACTGTACGTTTAATATTTAATTGGATCAGCCAAGGATATACGGGGTGTACAGTAGATGATTTAAACCTTCTGGGTTATGGCATGTTCGGTTGCCTTAGGGTTGAGCTTGCTTTTACAGGTCATGTCAAATCTTAAAGTATCTGAATTATATCTGGGAGATTCACAGGCTAAGTGAACTTTTAAAGTTGTGCTGTCAACATAAGCTTGCATTTTAATTTTCTTTGCTTTAAAGATGCTCTCTGTCCCTTTCAACGGTATAGAAACCGAGATGTGTACATACTAAGTCAAACAGATGTGTCTAACATATCGGTAACATTAAATTACTTTTTGGTTTATTTGCTGTAAACGTAACGCCCTGTTAAAAGTGCCCTTTGTATCTGTATGGAGCTATTTATGAATAACAATTGACCCTTTGAAGGCAGATTTTCTTTTAGAAACCCCACTCCTCTGCTTTTCATGTGCATCAAAGAGTATATCCATGATCTTTGCACACACGACAGTGTCTGACGTGCAGTGGACTTGACCAAGTGTCAATATGTGATGAGTTGGGAATGAAAATATGTTCGTCAAATGAAAGACATCTACCATGCTTCACTGGGAGAAACGACCACAAAAACACAATACCTGAATGGTAAAGTCGATCCAAGCTGTCATAATGGTTTTTGGGGCCAACAAAGTGCTGCTGATATTGTTTTGTAGAGTGCTTTTCTTTTTTCTTTTCTTTTTATACACTTTTTTTGTTTGTTTTGTAAGGGTTGTAAGATTACAGACATTGTAAAACAAAACCAACAGCAGAATATGCAAATTGAAGCAAAATGAAAAGGTCCCACACCAAAATGACAAGATATGCAAAATATATATCTCAACAAGTATCTATACTTCTATCTATGTGTACACAAACCATACATAGACACCATACAAAATCAACAGGGTGACAGGAGGCAAGCAAATAACTAATATTGGTGAAATAAGCAGAAATATATCAAATTAAACATAAAACAACAATTAGCACACCTCTTCAAGGGACAAATGATGAGTTACAATTTCTGTAAATATAAATTCAGATCCTCTTTTCTTCATTCCAGATCTTCCCTAATCTGTCCAAACTAACTTTAAGGTCATGAATCAACTTTTCAAAAAGGAATAAAAGTAGAAATCTGTGTTATCTACATGTCGACTGTATGGAACTGGGTAGCTGGCCACCTTAGCAAAATATTTTTTTTACCCAGGAATCCCCCCAAAAAAAATCAACATAAACTTATTATCTGCATCAAAAAGATTGTCTCGGATATTACTAAGAAGAAAGGAAGAACAATTAAGCAGAAAGGTTTTACCATTGATCTCTTGGATTACAGAATCTACCCCTACCAGAAAGTTTGAATATAATTGGATGACCAGAACAAGTTTCTCTTTATGTATTTTACAACATTTTATAACAAAGGTTGGAGTTGCAAGGGAACATTTTCTGGAGGCAAATGGATGTGTAATAAGTTTTGAAAAATGTTTTAAGCTCTGTTTTTCTATTAAGGTTGAAGTACATCTAGGGAAAAGCCCATTACATGTCTTGTTCCAAACAAAGGATTAAAAATCACAACCACCTCCAATAACGGATTCAGAAATTCATAACTTCAAGAATAATCAAAATAAAGCATAGATTTTTTAAATTAACCTTTCGGACTTTTAGACAAAAAATCTTGTGTTTTCCAGCTTGGACAATCATATTGACTGTTCTCAAAAGGGGACCCTAAAAGTTGGCAAATTTTAATGTATTTGTAAAATTCTTTCAGTTCAATTCAGTTCATTTATATAGCGCCACTTCAGAACATGTCATCTCAAGGCACTTTACAGAGAAAATGCAGTAACATTGGTTAAAGGTTTCTGTTAAGGTAAACCAGTTGATTGCATCCAGTCATTGACATGGAAGACATGCTCCACCTGAAAGAGCTTGCAGGCTTGCATTTTATCATTAGCTCTTCAGCAAACCCTCATACAGAGCATGCATGCAGCTACAGTGGGGATTTCTTTGTGAGGAATATTTAAGTCATTCCTTGTTTAAATGATTTAAGTTGGAAACCAACAGGTCCATGATGTTAGACAGGCGCATAGATACCCACTTCAGAAAACCAGTACTTTTAATCCTTACTAGTAAATCTGGATTCAGAGTAAAGGGAGATCAGAAATAGATGACAGGAGAATATTTAAATGTTTTTCCACATTACTCAAAACAAGTAATGTACTTTAAAAGATAGGTTATTTTAAGATAATTGAACTGATCTATATTGTTAATACAATAAAGTGAAATGAGTCTCCTGGGTTAACAAGGTTGATATTCAAGGCCTAACCATAGGATTTCAAAGTAAAAAACAAATCTGACATCATTTTGAGTTGGACTGAATGTAGTGAAAGACCTCTAACATCCTTAACTCTTGGATGTTCATTATTCCAAATATAGCAAGGTATACAAGAATTATGAGATTTCAAAAATGCTGTTGTTAAATAACATACGATTTTAAAACGAATAGTTCAATCCAGGAAGAATTTTTATTTTTATAGAGTTGACTCTGGGTTGGAAGGGAGACCCATATCATTGCAGTCCAGATCCACTTTGGTGTGATTACAGAATCTAAGCTAGATAAATCCTTAACCACAGTGGTTGGTAAAAGAATTTTGTGTAAATACTAAGAAATATTAGCATCATCGGCTTTATCTGCACTATACCGGGACTTATAAAATACCCAGAAAATGCTATTGAAAAATCATTGGATCAGATATGTTATCCCCATACTGTGTTCTTATCGTATTAATTAAATTCATTTTTATGGGAAGAGAATGCACTTACTTTTCTGATAACAGCTATAGAAACGAGATGCCCTGTAAAGTGGCCTTAGTTGCATAACAAATCACAACAGAAGGCAATGGAGAGCCTTTATTGTCAAGCCAGAATTATCATACGTGTGTGTGTGTGTGTTTTTGTCTTTATTCCAACTAAGTCAATCTCAGAAGGAACATTCAAAGTGTTGGTCATAATCATTTATGCCTCAGAAGATATTAACATATTTTATTTCGTCTGTGAATGCTTTGATTCTTCATAAAATTATATTTTTTATGTATTTATGCACTTATGTCATAGACAGCAAATGCAGTAAGTTTAAGCTGATTTATTACTTTTTTCCTATCAAAATCTTTAGACAGCTGTGCGTCATGCATTTTGTGCTAATTTAAATTAATTTACTTTTCTCATTTCTTTACATTTCTCCTTTCTTTCCCTAACTTTTTTACCTTTTGTGCTTTTCCTCTACCAGGGGAGCACCTGCGCATTTGTCCTCAGGGTTACACTTGCTGCACCAGCGAGATGGAGGGAGAGCTTGCTACGCTTACCCGCAGGGAAACGGAGGGACTTCTCAGAGAATTTAAACGACCCTTACAGAGCTCGCTTTTGCACAGTTACAGAACCTTTGATGGTAAGTTGAAGCATTTATAAAGACACTATGTATGGCTAGTTAGAGGGTGAAAAACATTCTGTGTATCTCTGTATCTCTTACAGTTTTCAGTTTGGGCATGTCCAGTTAAAAAGCCTTTTGCTGCTTTTCTGTATAGTTCTATTCTTAGTTACAGTACTATCATAACAGGCTGGCCCTTCTCAACATGGATTTATATTAAAAGCTGATGTTGAGCAGCAGGTTGTTACCTCCACATTTATTCTTTATATGTAAATATGTATACTTCATCTTAAACATGCAAAGTTATTTTATTTTTTCTGTCAGCTTAAACATTCAGAATAAATGTTGACAAATTTGGACTTCCAAAACAAGAGAACCAGTGTGTGTGGAGCAATGAAAAAGGAGCACCCTCAGAAAAAATGTTCAAAGCATATAAAAGGATATAAAATTGCTGAAGATAAAAAAATTAAAATGTGTCTTTATTCATATTGTCTTCTCCATCCATCTCTTTAGCATCTTTGCTAACTTATCCTATTCCATACGTTCTTTTTTCTCCCAGTCTTCCATATTGGCCAGTTGTATATCCCTTTAATATGCAAAATATCAAATTGAGCCAGTTTATGGTGCAGTAGGAAACCTTTTCTGGCACATTTTTACCATGTGGCTTGAAGATCTCCCCACAGTCAAGTAGCAAGCAGTGCTAAAGAAGATAAAGGAGTGAAACTAAAATAAAAGGTCCCCGCTACAGTGTGAAATCAATGAGTAACATCCACCAATCACAAAACACGGCCCGTTGTACACTATTGGTTCGTGACACGTCAATCATGGTCTGCTTGACCCTCCCCCCGTACCCTGACTAATAAACGAATACAACCCCCAATGCTTGTGCAGGACGCCATGGCTGTAAGCTAGCCACTGTTATGATACGTTCACACCTAAAGCAGCAAGAGCAGCAAAAACGCGCGTGCTGCCTCATTTTTGATGCTTGTACAAGTATATATCTGATGCACAGCTGAAGCATCTCTGCTGCTCTTGCTGCGCGGTGGAAAAAGTGGGTCTGATGCGCGTTGGGCCGAGCTACCCTATCCTTTCTTTGCCTGTAACAATGGCAGCTATATTTGCTGTGATCAGTGGGTAAAAAGTAGTTTGAATCTATTTTTAAGGGGAAAAGTCCACCTGAAAACATTGTCAGTGCAGTCAGTTCATCCAGATGACCATCCTGCCTCCAAATATTATTTCGGACGGAGCCGCTCAGACCCCCGTACACCGGCGGTGCGCTGTCACTTGGAATCCTATTCAGCAACAGCCCATGGCCAGGTAGCTGCCTCACGGGTTGCCGTGGCGGCTGGAAGGTGTATTTTGGATTACTTTCTTTCATGTAAGTAATCCAAAATGCAGGCACCAGGATAATAAAAGCAAACGTGTTTTGCCGGCAGATTTCGGCATTGTAAGTTAATTTAGGCGTTAATAAACAGTTTCAGAGGAGTGATCATAGCGCTCTGCATCACCAGTCTTTTGCCTGTCTCCCTGCCAGCTCCTAGATCAGCAATGCGCTGCTTTAGCTGCTCAGACGTGCTGTTCCTGGTGCTCTAGATGCTCTACAGCACCTTTTGCTGAGCCGTCGTGCGCGTCAACCATTGACTTTGCATGTAAACTAGCTGCTTTTGCTGTTGTTAGCTCGTCTCACGAGCACTCGGTCTCAGCTTGTTTCGTGCTCGATCTGATCTGAACACCCTGACAGACAGCATGCGCGTTCATGTGTTTTGAAGGCGGGGTTTCGATGGCTGGTCTGTAGGGAGAAGCATGGTTGTGTATGTTCAAAAATATAGCTTGCTGGAACTGTTTTTCCAAGATCTCCTACAGCACCTTTAATGTTGCTCCAGCTACATGAGGGCAGAGTAACAGTGCTGTGCTTTGTGGGGTAGATAAAGAAAACCTAAATATTGTCCTTTTTGGCTTGACAGACTGGCCACTTTGGAATCCATTCAAACCTCTCTACCAGAGGCAGATAGGTCCAGAAAGTTCATCCTGTTCACTTAAACAGGTTATTACCCCTCAGTCTGTGTCATGGAGCTAGAAATGCAAATGTTTGGATCTAATCTCTGTACAGGCTTTTTATTTTTTGGACCTGGATCATTCCACCTCTACCTATGGCGAACCCAGCCTGCCTCCAAATGATCTCTCTGTCTGTTGGCCGGAGAATATGTGTTCACTTGCTGGAGTGCAGCGCAAGTCTGCACCTGTGACAGAGTAATAAGGCGCATGCCTTGGATAATGATAGGGGAAATGCTGAACCTAGATATGTACACCTGAACAAGCACAACTGTTACTGTCAAATGATATGTTTTCATAGGGCTGACTTGAGGTCCTGCAGAAGACAGGTTTCTAATGTATATGTGCAAATAAGCAGGTAAATTAGTTCCAATTCATCCTTTCCACAGTTGCTACATTGCTCAACAGACAGTGTAACAGCCTAATTACAGTGTAAGTTTAACAACTGACAGCGTTTACAGCCCATTATAAATGAAATGCGGCAGGTAGAACACTGGATGGTTGAGTGACCTCAAGAATGACATTTGTATCAGGTCCAAGACTGATATCTGTAGGGCTTGAGCTATTGATTATTTTGATAGTCAATTAATTCAAATTAAACTAAACAGAGAAACTTATTCAGAAATATCTCAGTAAAAGGGTCTTTATACTATATATATTTCTCATTTTAATGGCATTTAGATATTTTACATGATAGAGCAAACCACAAATGCCACTTGGAGAGCTCTGAAAAGAGAATATTAAGAGACAAAAAAGTCTATCTTTAAAGTAAAATGTCTATTTTTGTACAGTATGGACTTCATTTATGTTTAGGTTGTATATTCAAGTTGACGATTATGTTTATCAGTAGCCATGGTGCAGTAACAACAATTAAGTGAAATCTGGAATGAAAACTCATTTATGGTGTTAACTGCAATGTATAGTGTGAGAAAGAAATTTCCAGTGTTGAAGATTGATGCACCAAGGTAATTAGATGTCTCTAATGACTTACTCTAGTAAATGGAAGAGTGCTTTCTCTGTGCTCCACTTCTTCCTCTTGGACAGCTTGAGACAATAGTATTGTCGGCTGGAGCTGAGGTTGACTGGTTACCCTGACCTTTTTGGAGCACAGTGATTAGTGGCTGAGTGAGACTTGTTTGCTTTTCTTCCTTGGCTTTATGCCCTTCTTTCTCCTGGCCCCTTACTTTCACTCTAATCGTTGAGCTGCAGTACCAGAAAGATACAGTAACTGCACCAAAGCTGAACTAAACAAAGATATGTGCAGGCCAGGAACATGTCAGAGACATGCAGTTTTAATCAAAGTTAGTTTGTCCCATCCAGCAGTTCTCAAAATTTCCCCTTCTTTTGTCAAGCATGTGTTTCAGCACAACAGGAACCTGTAAACAACAGAGCCCTAACAATACACACATTCAAACAGCACTCACTGGTCCCCTTTTTCGTATTCCTTTTTTAGTTTGAAGAAAGAGAGGTTGACTAATCAGGAAAGAGTTTTTATGCATTGTTGTAAAGGTCATTTGAGGATTGTTTTGTTCACAGAGTTTTACTAGACATGCAGTTACAAGTTTCTGATAACTGCTGTTGCTTTAAAAGTGAAAAATATGTATTTTTTTTTATGTTGAACCCAAAACAGCCAAGAACAGCTACAACCTATTTTCTGGCCTAAATGTTGAGAGTCTGCAGTGAGAAAGTGAGTCTTTTAAGAAGTTGTTTATCTTGTTTTTGGGATGTTTCAGCTCATTAGGGTAAAAAAAAAAGCTATATAAATATGAATTTATGTTTGTCTTTTGGAGCTCATTATATAGACACAACAATAGACTTCAGTGTTTACTTGTCTTTTATCTCAAACAACGTCATCAATTAGGTTTTCATTATTTAGCAGCTCTTTTTGGATCCTGTCTACTTTTATTGACTTTTAAAGCAGGCCTCGGCAAAACCTGCTTACACAATACTTTAACAAGATACTTGTATACAATGATGTATTGTTTTTTTTTTTCAATTTTTTGATTTGGAAAATAAGCTTTGTTAGTATTATAGAACACAGACTAGCCTGATTTGCACAGTAAGTGGGAGGGCTGCATATAGAAAAGATAGACAGTATTTTAACTAGGAAGCTCTTCAAAAAATGACTCTTCACAGTGGTCTGGTTTATAAAGTTTATATACACACAAAAAGAGGCTTAAAACTTTCATATGCCAACTTCCATCCAAAGGTTTTGATATATAAAAAGCAAACTCTTGTGAAAATGTTCTGTCCCTTGTCCCGACTTTGACACATCTGTTCGGCTATGCACCTTTTGGAGGCAGGGGGAAATGGAGAAGCAGATGGTGAGGTGTGGAAATTAATTTAGATTGCATTATAATTTCTCCCAGAAATTCAATTTCACTTCATATGAAACATTAAATGGACATTGACTTTGTCAAATGAACACATTCTATGTCATATCTTTCACCACACTCCCTCTGAATTCAGAAGACATGTTTTAAAACATTTATAATCCTCACTTCCTGTTTTTAAAAGAGGCAAACCTGATCTAAGATTATATGTTGAATGAAATCTTATAAAACAAATAATTGTATGGGTTTCTGTCAGGATTTATGGCACAATAAGGAACAAAAACAAGGCCTTGGCTGCTAACAGACATGTGGTACACACAGATTCATGATCAAAAGCAGGAAGTTGCTGTACTCTCCCTAAATCTGTGGAGACCTTATAGAGCTCCTGTGGCTTGGCTGTCCGAGACAGGATTCTCTTTTTTTCCTTTGTGGTTAACAAGGTTTTTTCAGTTTTCTTCCCCATTGAAGTTTGTCAGTATGACAAACTTCCTTGTTGTTATGACAAAAAAATGGACATTTTCTGCAGCATGCTGCTTTTCTTTGGAAGAATGTCAGCCTTAGGGGTTAAATAGGCTGTACTGTCACCATGACCTATGTGGCATTTTGGCAGTTAAATCCATTGTTCATAAAAAAGGC